TGAGTTGGTGGTGGACAACTTGGAAGCTTTCTTCTCAAATAAGCCTCTGGTGTCTCTCTTTGTGGATTAGTTGAGGTTCTGCTGGAGGAGGATGAAAACTTGATGGCAGAGAGCCACTCTAGAGTGTTAGTGAATTCAAACTTGTTGGTTTTGGAGAATTGATGTTTATGGTTGCACTAAGATGTTATCTTTTCAACACTTTTCGAATTTACTCCGAAAGATGAGTTTGAGATGACTTTAAAAAGTGAAAAAATTGTTTTTAGTGCTGACCTAAATGTAGTTCAACTGGACTGAGGTTCAAATATTTTCTACACATGTTGTTTAAACTCAAGAAAATAGAAGTGTTTTGGCTTATGAGATTATCCTGTCATCGAGGAGCTTTTCTTTTCGTACTCTTTGCAGGAACAAGAGGGAGATGAGGTTGGAGGGTGAGGTATGAATTAGATTTAATGGAATTAACGAGCTCCTTTAAAATTCGAATTACTATACAAACGCGTCAAATTTGATGGGCTAACTTTTACGGTACATAATCCTTCAAATTTTATCTTTGGTCATGTTATGGGATAAAATCGAGAGACACGGGGCACACTCCTAAGTGCAAGAGAGGAAAGGCATGTGTCGCATTAAGCCTCAAATCAACTCTTTCCTGAGGGCAAAGTTCACATGGTGAGGGCAAAGTTCACATGGTGAAATGCCCATGGATCAATTCTACTGTGATATTTCTGTAGTTGGAAGATCCTCTCGTTGACAGATTATGCCAGCTTGAGTATGCTTTCCAGCATTCTCCGCGAAGTCCAACCGTTCTCAAAAGTACGTAATCTCTTGCTGTATACTCTAGCTCCCCACTCTTGTACTCTGACCTAAGTCATAACTTAAAGCTTCGAAATAGATTTCATCGAACACCCCACTAATGGTAAGCTAGGCATCCACCTTAGGCTCGTGTGGACATGTCACCTCAATTGGAATTCAACATCAACAGGTCATATAACTTTCCAGACGAAAAATTGGAACTTAGTTTCATGCTAAATATTACTCTTAAAAGACAACTTTGAATACTCCATAACCACTCAAATGTGCCAGTGAATCCAACTTATTAATTATTTTAGATAACTAATATTTATGGGACATTTTCTAAAGAGAAAAATGATTTAGATAATCAAAATAAGTTTGGAAATCCTAAAAACACTTAGAAAATATTTAAAACATTTTTATTAAAAACACTAAACGTCTCATCTAAAAGTACGTACTTAGTCTTCAAGAAGGTCACGCATGTTTCAAAAACGATCCAATGGCATTTCAAGAACGACAATCAAAATTTGAAAAATTGGGAACCTAAAGTGAAGAACTGCTTGAACATGCGTAGTTCTAAATTCTAATTAGATATATTTTTTTCCGAACCGAGAAGAAATTTAAGATACTCTGGCCAACTCCATTTAAAAAGAAGGGTCAAAGGTTTGGATTCCGACATATTTCGGATGCTTAAAGACTACTATTTCAGGGATTGGACTCTCTTTCCCTACTATTAAGTAAAGATTAGCACCTACTATTAAGAACGAGCCAGGTTTCTTGGATCCACGTATCCTCCTCGATACAAATTAGAACTATGATCCTATTGAGCCCCAACGCCTAAATCTATTTGAGTTTTTTTTTCCTTTGTAGGATCAAAGGGAAGGAGCTCTCCTCATTTCTTCTCTGAGAAAGCTTGCTTCATTTTTTAGAGTTGAAGGAAAATCATCATACAAATAGAGGAGCTTGATCCGAATAGGGGCTGGCCATTGGACGGGAGCCGAATTATCCAAACTCAAAATGACAAGGACTCCTCATCGAGCAGGCTCGAGGCTCGATACTATTAAAGAGTCATAAGTAATGGTCAGTTGAGTTCTACGCAAAACATCGACAATTTACACCCTCACAATTTTTATGGTATATCTTAAACTGAAAATATATATAAATAAATACTTTTTTATGGAACCCGATAGAACAGATTCCATGGCGACCAAAATCCATGGCGACGAGCTTCCTCAAGTTTTGGTTCTAGGCTCCCCCTGGGTATTACCCTCTCTCGAATCCCAATTCTCACACAGATTCCATTTCCTCAAACCATCCAATTCCCAATTCCCACTACTCCAATTCCTCTCCTCTTACGCCCAATCCGTCCAAGCCTTGCTCATCCCAGGCGGCAGTTTCGCCCTAACCTCCGCCATTCTCGACTGCCTCCCGTCGCTGAAGCTCGCCGTCACCACCAGCGTCGGCGTCGACCACTTGGACTTGCCGGAGTTGCGCCGCCGTGGGATCGCCGTTGCCTATGCCGGAAACTTGTACTCTGAAGATGTCGCCGATATGGCGGTTGGATTGCTAATCGACGTTCTTAGGAAAGTGTCGGCCGCGGACCGGTTCCTGAGGCAAGGGCTTTGGCCTACCAATCGGGAGTTTCCTCTTGGATTGAAGGTGCGATGCTCTTTACTTTCCATTTCTAAACGGAAAGTAATTTATAAACACATTGGTCCCTCGTTGGTTTATTTATCTAAATGTATAGGAAATTTAACAATTTGTTTACGATAGAAACTAAATCGTTACAAATTAAATACTACTCAAACTAAATTATTACATAACTATACTTTGAGAACCAAATTTTTTACAAATTTAAAAGTATTGGGACTAAATCGTTACAAGGTAAGGTTTAGAAACTAAATCGTTACTTGAAATTTTTTTAACATTTGGAAATTTTCACAGTTGAGCGGGAAACGAATTGGGATTGTTGGACTGGGGAAAATAGGGTGTGAAGTAGCCAAAAGGCTGGAGGGATTTGGGTGCAAGATGTCATATAACTCAAGGACCAAAAAGCCATTAGTTCCATACTCATACCATTCCACTGTACATGAACTGGCAGCAGAGTGTGAAGCTCTGATCGTCTGTTGTGGGTTAACTGAAGAAACCCGCCATATGATCGACAGGGAGGTGATGGTTGCATTGGGAAAAGATGGTGTGATAATCAACGTTGGTCGCGGGGCGATCATCGATGAGAAGGAGCTGATTGAATGTCTGTTACAAGGAGAGATTGGGGGAGCTGGATTGGATGTGTTTGAGAATGAACCTGAAATTCCAGAAGAGCTGTTTGGGGTTGATAATGTTGTGTTGTCGCCACATGTTGCTGTGATTACACATGAATCTATGAAGGGATTGTGTAAGTTGGTGGTGGACAACTTGGAAGCTTTCTTCTCAAATAAACCTCTTGTGTCTCCCTTTATGGATGGAGGTTAGTTTGTAAAGAATTCAGCTGATTTGTTTGGGAAATCTCCTTTATATTAATGCCTAATTCGAAGCTTGGATTCAGAGAACAGGGGACAAGTTCACCCAAAACCTTACTGTATTTAGGCACGAATTTCGTATTGAATAGTTTCAATTCCTTTTGAAACAGTAGATTTGATGATGAATCATTGAATTGTCTGCTCAAGATATCTATTCCTTTCATGGCCATCACCTCTGGTTCTCTACTGCATATTGCAGCCAATTCATGTTGGGTGTCGACCAAAGGCGAAATTTGGAGGCCGTTAAAACAAAAAATAAAGGAGGCATTTGGTAACACGTTGCGGTTACTATTTCCTTTTTTATAATAAAGAAAAATATAATAGTATAACACTCATGAATTCAAGAATGATAAAACAAAATATTTATTTATATCGAGACAAATTGGAAATGAGAACAAGAAACAAGAAATTTGTTTATGTTGTTTCTAAAATTTCTATACAATTTTGAGATTGTTTCTAAAAAAAATGAAAAACAAGAAACGTAAATAGCTTCTCAAATGTTTAAATTTCTTAATAAAATTGGAAACGAAAAACAAAAAACTAACATTATCAAACGAGCCCAAAGAGACCCTATGTTTATATATACATAATATTTAGTTGATATTCAATCGATTTTTCGTCACTTAACGAGAATATCGGTTGATTCAATTTTTCGGCTATTCTTTCTCTGTCCCTACTTTAGTATCTTCCTTTGTAAATTAATGTTTTTTTAGTACAAGTAGGGACAGAGAATTCGAACTCACTAATATTACGAGAGCACAAAGTTGGTTGATATTTTATGGTTATATTGACAGGTTTGTTTGGCAGCCATCGACTGAACACCAACATCTTACAAAATTTTCTCCATTTTTATAACATGAAGTGTCAAAGAGGGCACAAAGTCCTACCTTAACTACAAAATGAGAAGATGGATGATATAAAGGGAGAATTTTTATTTCCATTGGGTAAAAGTGTAGAATAATGCTCCTGGTTTCTTGAACTAACGAGAGGGAGAGGGTAGTTGTTGGAGTTTTCTTTTGTTTGTGTTTAAATATTGTTGCACATGGGGCCGGGCCAACGGAACCACGTTTTGCCACTGTGTTTTAAAATATTCCTACATAAAATGGGACCACTACCAGGACACCATGACCAAACCAATTGCCTTTTTTTTTTTTTTTAATTTAACTTTACAATGGGAGTGGTTGTGGATCCGTGTGATTTATATTCTCAGACAAGGAAACGGAAACGGCAGATCTGAGTACAGAATTATTAGAATGGCATCAGAAGCCGAACACCTTCCTCAAGTTTTGGTTATAGGTCCTCCCGGGATATTCTCACTTCTCGAATCCCAATTCCCAAACAGATTCCATTTCCTCAAACCATGGCTTTCCCAACTCCCACTCCTCCAGTTTCTCACCTCTTATGCGCAATCCACACAGGCCCTCCTCATCCGAGCTGGTGGCTCCATCAAGCTCACTCCCGCACTTCTCCATTGCCTCCCCTCGCTCAAGCTCGTCGTCACCGCCAGCGTCGGTGTCGATCACCTCGACTTACCGGAATTACGCCGCCGTGGGGTCGCCGTTGCCACTGCAGGAAACTTGTTCTCTGAAGATGCTGCGGACATGGCGGTCGGATTACTAATAGACGTTCTTAGGAACGTTTCTGCGGCGGATCGGTTCGTGAGGCAAGGCCTTTGGTCTACAAAAGGGGGTTTTCCTCTCGGGTTAAAGGTACGGTGCATTTTTTCTGAGTGTATTTTTTCTAATTTCAGTGTAGTTGAATTTGGATTAAAATTTAACAGTTGAGCCGGAAACGAATTGGGATTGTTGGATTGGGGAAGATTGGGTGTGAAGTTGCGAAAAGGCTGGAGGGTTTTGGGTGCAGAATCTCATACACTTCAAGGACCAAAAAGCCATTAGTTCCATACTCATACTATTCCAAT